AAATTTTAGTTGTTCTTTGTTGTTCAATTTGTGTTCATGTGATTTGTTGTTGAAATGTTGAAGAAATCATGTTCATGTGATTTGTTGTTTGAATTTATGTAGAAATTGGTCATATTGGCTATATTTTGGTTGAGTTTGATTAATTGATTGGTTATAGCTGATGAGGGTAGTTTGGTAAATTGTAGTACGTCCGGGGGTAAAATAGTAATTGCAATAAGGTCGGAGGGGTAGTTTAGAAATTGTACATTTTGTAATTTTTTATGTTAAGCATGGGAGACAAAAGGTAATGGGGTGTAGGTGATATAGTTGTTTAATATAAATGGGGGACAAGACAAAATATAGTGGAGGGGAATATGGTAATTGTTTATGATAAGCATGGGGGACAAAATGTAATGGGGTGGGGTTGATATATTTGTTTAATTTAGTGGGATTAAAATGGGGATGAGTGGGAAGATAATGAGTTTGGTAAGAGAAAATGGGTGTTTTATTAATTAATTAAAGGGTTTGGTGATGTGATATATATAGGAGGCTTGATCAGATTTTAGAAGACGGACAGATATAGAGAGAGAAAAAAAGCTGAATATTTAAGAGAGAAAGAAAAAATCCGATAAATATTAAAACTTTCAAGAAAGAAAAAGAAAAGAAAAAATACAAATAAAAAGAGCTGGAAATTAGAAGAGAGAGTAGTACACACCTGATAAATATTCTGATATACGGGTTTAGAAATTAAGGGTTAAATATTAATTAGCCTTTCAAATCTGAAAATTCCCTTGGTTTCCGTCCGTGGTTTGTTGACAGTGTTTCTGGATTTTATTTTGAATTTCAAATCTGTCACTGGGATTTCTGTTGACTGGATTGCTGGTTATTATTGTTGCTGCTGTGTTACGTACTACGTGGCTGACTTTCTTCTTCTTATATTGGCAATATCTGGTACATATTTGTAATTTTGGCATTTTGTAAGCTGAAATGAAGAACGGAATGTTAAATTTCTAATTTAGTTTTATTTTTTTTTAATTGTATTTAGGTCATTTCATGTATTATTATTCTGTAAATCGCCGTCGTTTGCATAATTAGGCATATTGTAGCGATGTATTAAATAATATTTTGCTTTAACCTGATTATTAGGTAGTATATATTTAAGCATGTTCATTACTAATTAAACTGTCAAAATAATAAAAATAGAAGAAAATAATGTAAAAATGGCTTTATTAAATCAGTTTGGCAAAATTGATTAAGTTCCTTATTCATAAGGGTTTTAGTATCGCCAACGTTAAGTTAATCGAAATCATGTAGCTAAATTCAGTTAAAACAGGAGTTAATTTTGCGAATCAAGTATTAGGACATAATTTGAATTAAAACAAGGATAATTAGGGTTAAATTATTTAATTTTTAGAAATACGGTTTAGTAATCAAGATTATTTCTAATTTTCAGTATTTGTAAATAATTAATTTCAATAGCTCAAGTCATCTAACAATATGATTTTTAGTCCGATTATAGGATAATTAGTTTTGTTTTTAAAAAAAAAAACTATTTGACAATTCCATGTTGTATTTATAATTATAATTTTAGTAATATTACTTTCCATTAATATTTATTTTTTTAAACTAGTATCTAATATGTTATTTTAAGTATGTAGAGATTGATTTTATATTTATAGAAAAGCTTAGTAATAATAAAATGTAGTCATTAAATGATATTCATAAAATAAGGAAGGATTTCGCTAAAAATAAATAGATGTAAACAATACAAAAATTTGCAGGATTCTCCAATCTCATTTATTTATTTATTTATTTAAAAAAAATACTATTATCCCGGGATGGGCCGTTTAGTAAAATTCACGGTCCTACCTAAAAGTATAATAACGCGTAGTCTTTTGGCGTATATTTAATAAGGTTATTTTCTTAAATATGGGTGTGCATTTATGTAACCCAAATCCCGATCTTGATGGAGTCAAAATGCGTCAACAAATCACGTGTACACTGGTTGTGACGTGGTTCGAAATGCATTTTCACGACGTTGCAATTCTTGTATAAAATAATAATAAGAATAATGATAAAGCGGTTAAAAGTTAAATTTTGCACATAGGTTCAACATGTATTAAATCAGATAATCAATCCAAATATAACAGTTGAGCGACCGTGCTAGAACCACGGAATTCGGGAATGCCTAACACCTTCTCCCGGGTTAACAGAATTCCTTATCCGGATTTCTGGTGCGCAGACTGTAATATGGAGTCATTCTTTTCCTCGATTCGGGATTAAAATTGGTGACTTGGGACACCCTAAAATCTCCCAAGTGGCGACTCTGAAATAAATAAACAAATCCCATTTCGATTGTCCTTTAATTGGAAAAAACTCCTTCACCCTCGCGGGGGCGGAAAAAGGAGGTGTGACAAACCACATTAACGACGCAGAATAGGTAAGAGTATTGCAGATGGCCTCCTTCAGTTGTTCAAAGCTAGCATTGGCTGAGACGCTCATTCCATCCAACCTGTCATAAATCTCCCTGAAAGCCCTGAAAGCCCTGACAGCGTTCTCCCTTACTCTGAGAACGACAACTCTTATCTTGGACACATCAGACCCTATTTCTTTGGAGATGGAATGAATATCACCAACAGTTGACTAAGTAGCTGTGAGGAGATTTTTTATTTCAGAGAGTTGAATGTCAATGGCACGAAGCTTCTCACCAAGATCAGGATCACCAAGACTGGGATAAGAGGCAGAAGGTTTAGGTTTGGGATCTATTGGAGCATGTTCTCAGTATGGAATCCAGGTCTTGTGGATCAATGAAGAATCGTAGATCCTCCCGACCATAAAAAAGGAGTTGATAGAGGGAGGAAATCTGCTCTCGAGTCGCAAAACATAATTCCGTTTACATCGCATTCGTGCTTCTTAACCCAGGAGCCCTTCACACTCACATATCTCATACTTGCAAAGGCTCTAGAATTATAATATTTTGAAATGGTGATAAAAGGATAAGCGGACAGGGAAATTTGGTGGGCTTCCAGGAAGGAACCAGTGCAGGGAAGCAGAGTAGTTGCTACAATGTGAGCCAGGACTCGAGTTTCGAAATTAACATCACTGGGCCTAACTAGTTGGGAAGGGATTAGAGGAACACTCAGCAATACACCGTTTAGCTTGATCAAAGGAAATTTCAAAATCATCGGGCCATGTATTTTTGAAAAGTATGGGAAAACTAGAACATTTACACTGAAAGAGGGAATCAAACATGGCACAATCAAGAACAATGCGCTTACCTAACACTAAGGATTCCAACTTATCAGGTTTACTAGAGCGAACATTAGCATAAAATATCTTTACCAGGGGTTCATAGACCTTAGGCGGAGGAATAGAGAGGAACTTAAACCACCCTTGATGAACAAAAAGATTTTTTACCTTACAATTTAGGGCTTCCATGTCGTCAAGGTCGACTACCCCTCTATGAGCAATGGACTTGTCTTTCAAGGCAATGAAGATATCACTGTTTGGAGAATCCCAAAAATTCAGGTCAAATTCTAGAGAGCCAGAAAAATCTATCTTGGATTTCTTTGGAGTAGAGGAAACAGGGGGGGTCTTCCATAGGTCGTTTTCCTAGGGCTTTTTCTCCTAAGATTTGAGAATGATCAGACAAATCGCCCTGTGAAGAAGCGAAACCCTCAGAATGGTCGGACCCTAGGTCTACTTGTTCTGGGGCATAGAAGGGAGTTTTGCTTTGGAGCGGGTACTTTTTCTGGTAGAAGCGGATGGGTTCTTGGGTAACATTGAAGGATAATGATTTGAGCAGAGCTTTGGAGAAGAGTTTTCTAGATGATAAGAATGAAAGTGATTGAAAGAAGATCTCCGCCTTAAGAAGAGAACCTTCTGACGGTTGAGTATAGAAAAGGAAAAGATGTCAGTTGAATAGACGTGATAATTGGCTTTCCAAATTTGAACGATGAAACTGATGTGAAAGAAAAGGAAAAGAGAGGGAAAACGGAGGCGTAATTAATGCAAGAGTAAAAGATAATTATTAAACCTACAAAAGTAACTGAATTACACATAGGTCCTATAGGTTATTATTCAAGCAAGTACTGCCAAGTAATTTTCTCAAAGCACAATATCTATCCTCTAATAATGGCATAGTAAAAATATCTACTAATTGATCAGTTGTTCCAACAAAAGATATTTCTATGTCTCCCTTAAGAACATGATCTCTAATAAAATGATGCTTGATATCTATATGCTTTGCTCTAGAATAATGCACAGGATTTTTTGAAAGACATATAGCGCTAGAATTATCATGGAAAATTTGAATAGGCTTAAAAGATAGTTCATAGTCACCAAGTTGATGAGATATCCACAATAGTTGAGCACAACATTGTCCAATAGCCATGTATTCAGCTTCAGTCGTGGATAGTGCGACTGATCCTTATTTTTTACTATTCCAAGATTTCAAAGCTTTGCCAAGCAATTGATATGTCCCACTTGTACTTTTTCTGTCTTCCTTATCACCTGCAAGATCAACATCTGAAAAACCTTCTAATTTAAAATTGTTAGAGCGAGGATACCATAATCCATGAGAGATAGTTCCAATAAGATATCGAAGGATTCTTTTTACTGCAGTCATGTGAGACTCCTTAGGAGCTGACTGAAACTTGGCACATTTACAAATGCTGAACATAATATCTGGTCGACTAGCAGTCAAATAAATAAGAGAACTAATTATTCCACGATACTTAATTTCATCAATAGATTTTCCCTGTTCATCTTTGTCGAGACTTGTTGAAGGACTCATTGGTGTGACGATAGCTTTGGCACTACTCATGCCGAATTTTTGGATCAACTTCTTTGTATATTTAGTCTGACATATGAATGTTCCTTCTTCAGATTGTTGAATTTGAAGTCCAAGAAAGAACGTCAGTTCTCCCATCATACTCATTTCGAACTCACTTTGCATAAGATTTGAAAATTTCTTACACATAAGAGGATTAGTACTACCAAATATAATATCATCAACATATATTTGAATAATAAGATTACCTTCTGATGATCTTTTAATAAACAGAGTAGTATCTACTTTACCTCCTGTAAATCCATGATCAATAAGAAAAGAACTTAATCTTTCGTATCATGCTCTTGGAGTTTGCTTCAGCCCGTGCAGTGCTTTAGTTAGCTTATACACATGATATGGAAACTATGAGTCTACAAACCCAGGAGGTTGCTTCACATATGCATCCTCTTCAATGAAACCATTTAAGAAGGAACTTTTAACATCCATCTGAAATAACTTGAATCTTTTAAAAGATGCATATGCCAACAGAATGCGAATAGATTCCAGTCGAGCTACTGGGGCAAAGGTTTCGTCATAGTCGACTCCTTCTTGTTGTGAATATACTTGAGCAAATAATCTGGCTTTGTTTCTTAAAACTTTTCCATCCTCATTGAGCTTATTTCTGAAGACCCACTTTGTCCTTATCATATGAACGTTTTCAGGTTTGGGTATCAGTTTCCATACTTGATTTTTGTCGAATTGATCTAATTCATCCTGCATCGCTTACATCCAACTTGAGTCCTTAAGAGCTTCCTCTATTTCTTTGGCTCAATCTGAGAGATTAGAGATATGTTTGCTTTCTTCTTGAGAGCTCCATTCGTTTGGGCGAGCTTTATGAGTAGTCAACTCCTTCGGTGGTTCTGGTGGATTGTTGCTGGTTTCATTAGTTGACTCTAACATGGCATCAGGTCCATCAGTCGACTTTTGTGTTTTGCTTGTCTCCTAATTTTCTTGAGTTTGATCTTCATCACCTGCAATACTACCTTTCTCGACCGAGGAGTTATTTTCATCAAATATAATATGCACAGATTCTTCCACACACATCGTACGTTTGTTGTATACTCTAAAAGATCTACTATTTAATGAGTAATCCGGAAAAATACCTTCATCACTTCTTGGATCAAATTTTCCAAGATTGTCCTTACCGTTATTGTGAATGAAACACTTACTTCCAAAGGGATGAAAGTAGCTAATATTAGGACATTTACCTTTCCATAGTTCATAGGGGGTTTTCTTCAGAATCGGCCTATGAGACAACATTTAAGAATGTGAAATGCAGTACTTACTCCTTCTACCCAGAAATGGTTTGGTAGAGAATGATCTAGTAGCATCATTCTTGCCATATCTTGTAGTGTTCTATTTTTCCGTTCCACAACACCATTCTGTTTAGGTGATCTTGGTGCAGAGAAATTATGAGTATATCCTTGATCATTACAGAAGTCTTCAAATTCTCTGCTTTCAAATTCTCCTCCATGATCACTTTATATTGTTATAATCAGATACCCTTTTTCTCTTTCAACTTTCTTACAGAAAACCTCAAATTTTTTTAATGTTTCATCCTTATGAGATAAGAAATCACCCAAGTAAAATGCGATTAATCATCAACAATAACAAAAGCATATCTTTTACCTCCTATGCTAGCGGTTCTAGTAGGTCCAAATAAATCCATATGAAGCAATTGCAAGGGTTTAGAAGTGGATACAATATCCTTGTTTTTGAAAGAGTTTCTAGTTTGTTTTCCAATTTGACAAGCATCACATATATGATTTCTAGAGAAATTCAATTTTGGTAAACCAATAACTAAATCATGCTTGGAAATTTTTTCAATCAGATGCATGCTTGCATGACCAAGTTTCCTATGCGACAACCAGGGATCATCAGATATTGAAGTTAAACAGATATGACCGTCAATATTTTCAAAACCATTAAGAATGTAAGCATTTCCATACCTTTTACCTGGAAGGATTGTTTTACCTGTCTCATCTTCAATAGCACAACATGTTTTCTTAAACTTTACCTCATATCCTAAATCACAAAGCTGACTTATGCTCAGAAGGTTGTAGTTAAGCCCATCAACTAGATAAACCTCAGTGATATCACAATTGTTATTGAAGGGGATCATTCTGATACCAATTATTTTTCCTTTTGAATCATCGCCAAACTTAACGCTTTCTCCATCTATTTTTGTAACTTCTTTGAATAGGCTTTTATTATCTGTCATGTGGCTGGAACACGCACTGTCTAAGTACCATTTTCCTTTGCGATTTCTTCGGTGGTGTTCCTGCAAAACATAGTGATCACTTTCTTTTAGGTACTCACTTGCTTGGGTCCTGGTTGGCTAGTGTTACTAGGTTTAGGATCATTTTTGGGTTTCGAAATCCATCCTGAAATATTAGACTTACGAAAAAGACAATAAGAATATTTTTGTCCACTTTTATTGTAGTAGTGACATGTAATTCCTGACCCATTTTTGGGTTTTTAAGTTGTGTTAGTACTAGTCGACTCAATTCTGGTTGGTCCTTTTCCAGTTGACTTGTAGGTCATCTGGTTCGACCTGATAGAACTGTGACTGGTGGATTTGCGCATGCCATGGAGTTGCATTTGCAATTCCTCAAACTCTTCTTGAAGTACTTCTTTTTCGATTTCACATACTTCATGTTTGAGTTTCCAGACGTTTACTTCTTTGTTGAGTCTCTTTAGTTCATCCATCATTTTTTGAGACTCTTTCAAAGTGAGATCAAGAATATCCTGCAATTCATTACATCTTTCATAATTATAAGACCTTACCTTGCTTGTTTCACCTCGAGCCATGAAGCAATTTTCATTGTTATCTTTGCACTCATCGTCTGAAATGTCCTCGTTTGTCCAGCATCCTGAAAGTTTGTTCATATCATTTTTCAGAATTTTTATGAAGCAAAGATTTTCTACTTCTTCGTGTTCTGAACTGTCTTCATCACTCCAGCTTCTAAATGATTTGTTTTTGTTGAAACCTCTAGAGATTTTTCTTTGTAGATCTGGACATTCAGCTTGAATATGTTCAAATTTTCCACACTCATAGCATTTTCCATCATTCTTATCTTGTTCATTGTATTGCCTGGTTTGCCTAGGTGGAATCCTTCCTCTTCTCGTGTTCCTGAATCTTCTCATTAAGCCATCCATGTTTCTTGACATCATAGCAATTTCTTCTTGGAGAGCTTCAAGATCATCATTGATATCATTCTCAGCTATCTCACGTGTGGCCTTGAACGCAACTGTCTTTTTCTTTTCTTCTTGGTTTGTTTTCTTGAGATACGTTTTTTTGAAGGCTATGAGTTCTCCACGAAGTTCATCACAAGATAGTTTATTCAGATCTTGTGATTCAAGTGTGACTACTTTAGTTTGCCAAGTGGTTGGTAAACTTCTAAGAATCTTTCTAACTTGATCACCGCTTGAGTATGGTTTGCCGAAAGCCTTTAAGTCGCTAATGATTTTACTAAATCTGGCAAACATTTCCTCAATGGATTCTCCTTCTTTCATTTGGAAGAGTTCATAATCATGAACCAACATATTGATATGTGTTTCCTTCACTTTACTGGTTCCCTCGTATGTAACTTCAAGCTTATCCCACATTTCTTTGACTTCATCAAAGCTAGAGATTTTCTCATATTCTTCACCACTTATAGCATTGTAGAACAAATTTCCTGCTTTATTGTTGACTTGCACAACTGCCATTTGCTCATATGTATATGAATCTATATTTTCAAGATCAGCAAGAGGTTGAGCAGCAGCTGGTAGAGGATAATTTCCCTTTTTGATGACTTTTCACACTTTAACATCATATGCTTTAGCATATATTTCCATACATACTTTCTAGTGGGAGAAATGCTATCCATTGAAGTATGGTGGCCTTACTTGGGAGGTACCTTCTTGAAAAAGTGCTCCTATGATTGCTTGATTAGCCATGATCTTTTTCACAAGTTGTTAAGCAAAAATAAAAGTATGAGCCTTGCTCTCATACCAATTGAAAGTACAAGAGGGGGGAGGGGGGTGAATTATTTATTTTTAAACTTAATAGCTAACAGTTGACTAGTTTTACGATTAGTAAACTGGATGTAAGAACTTGATACTAGAAAAGACAGAAATTAAAATGCAAAATTTAAATGCAGGAATTAAAGACACCAGAGTTTTTATACTGGTTCGGATTCAATGTGAATCCTAGTCCAGTCCCCTTGGGTTGCAAGGGAGTTCTTTTTCGTGAATGAGTTTCTTCAAGAGTACAGAGAATGGTGTGATCTACACTGATCGCTTAGAGCCTACTTCACTCATTTCTTTTTGATACAATGTCTCACCAGTGTTGTTCTTTCTTTCTTCTCTAACTTGTTACACAGCAGATCTAGTAGAGCTACAATATTTGTTTGTACTAGAATAAAGAGAGGGTATTTGGTTCGATCAAAGTATATTTGTCTAAGGCTTGATGCTGAGCATAGATACTTTGGTGAAGGTCGTTTGCTGAAGAGATTTGATCCTTGGAAAGAGATTGATTCTTTCCAAGAATAAGGTTATTTTCCGTTGCTCTTCCTTGATGAGAGGGAATTGATAGCTTTCCTTCTACAGATCTTGATGACACGGGTTTACTCCTTGATTGTTGGTCCTTTCGAAAATAGCAGCTTGATTAATCATCTTACAAGATCTTCGATGCTTCTTTTCCGCTTCAATCTTCTGGATTGAATGCGCTAGACTTGATTTATTCCTTAAGTTTAGGCTTGATTGATTCCTTCCATCGTAGTTGTCCATTGATTTCATGACCTTTGTTCGCCTCGGATTACTTTCCTTAGGTTTCCTGATTTATTGCTTCCATCTTGTAGTAACTCCTTGATTCCTTGATCTTCTCTAATTGATTCCTTCAATCTTTGAATTGCTATCCATGATTTCCTGCACAAATATATCATTTGCATCATTAAAACCAGATCTAATAGTACTTCTATAGTTTACAACCAGATTTATCAAAAGCAAGTTGGAGTATGCTTATATATTTCTTAGTACAGGTACAATAAATAGATGCAAAGAATGGCCTAGACATATTACTATTAATTATTAGAGACAGATAGATCGATATAATAACAATAATCACTTGTGCAATTCTCAACAAGAAGGTCAAATAGTACTAAAACTCCGGCTAAAACTCTCCGAGAAAACCGACCAATTGCAGTCGGTAATAGGCAATAAGCGACCAAAATGCGACCAAATATGCGTGATCGGTAAATCAATGGATGGTAGAGCATACTGACCAAAATCGGTTGGAAATTACCGACCAACATCAGTCGCTTAGTGTAAACGACCATCTGACAAATTAATTGGCCCACCAACCAATATTGGTCGGTATATTATTATAATTTAAGTTTATATACCGGCCAAATTGGTCAGTAAAGTAAATTAAATAAAATTTAATTTCAACGACTTTGATCGATAATGTAAAATAAATTAATTAAATTTAATTGTACGTACGGACTAACGTTGGTAATAGAAAATTCTTATTGATTTAAATTAATAAAAATTTAAATTAACCGACCAAAGTTGGTTGGTAAACTTGATTTTATGGATTTTCTCAGCCAATTTACCACCGATATTGGTCGTTATTGTTGAATTTCTGGTAATTTATGTGAGTTTACTGACCAACATTGGTTGGTATTTTATAATTTTTTTTTAATATTTACCAACCGAAGTTGGTCGATTTTCTGGGCATAAATTTGGCAAAAAATGCCTGTTTTGGTAGCTACACCACCTGCCAAAAAGAAAAATATATACAACATAACCAATTACCCCCAATTCACCACCCATGCACCTTATACAAGCATATCTAACCAAATAACCCAATTCAAACCAATCAAACCTTTAAACAAATACTAAATAATTAAAACAAGTTCAAAATTGTTCATACGAATTCAAAACAATTTTTAAGTAATTAACAATTCAATTAAACTAGTTCAAAGTATATCAATCTACTATTCAAGGGGTATTTTCTACTGCATCTCCACTATCTAGTAAACTTTCATCTAGAAGACGGTAAGAATGGTCATGTGGAGGACGGGCAGAACAATCACGTGAAGGACGGACTGAACGGATCACATGGAGGTCGGGCCTTTGGCGATGACTCAAGAGACCAAGGAAATGGAAAAGCTCCAGTAGAAAGGAGAGTTCAGATTTGAGCTTGCATACCAAGAAATTGTGCATCTCTAAGCCTTTCTTTTTCCTTGGCCACTTCAAGCTCAGATGCAAGCCTTGTCAACTTCTTTTCCACAGACAAGAGGGTCTCCCTATTAAGTGCCTCGCCCTGTGAGGAGGTCCTTATTCGTTGCATTCCACACCTGTAGAGATGGAATATTTTCTCAGGAAGCCCGTATACCTTCCCCTTTTTTAGACCGCCAACAACCTTCAACCACATTATTTTCTGCATCCTTATCCGAAGGTTAGGTTGGCTCGCCCGATTCACCAGTTAGCTGACTACGAATGAACTCTTCCACAGTATTTTGATAGCAACCCTAAATTATTTTAAATTAAATTAGTATATAAAAAATCTTGTAAAAATAAATTGTAACTCTTAAGAAAATTTGAAAACTTACATATGTAGTCTCTGCCTGGTCCTTGACCCACTTATCTGCATCCACATCATTCTTCTTCTTTAAAATATGTATCTCCCTGAATAACTCATCTTGCTGCAGTGGATGCCCATACTTTTTCTGAAAATAAATTAATTTGGTTAATAAATAGAATTAATATACTTAGAAAAGTAAAAACATAATAATTTAAGGAGTTACCAATCTTTTTATTATTGTCCCGACGCTGATAGCACTCCAGTGTGCAAGGAGCCTCCATTCTTTGATGAGCTTTCTTTCTTTCCTTGTTCATTCTTGTTTAAGAACTCCTCGGTCTGTCATTGCCTTAACAAATCATCCCATAAATATTCTAGACACCAACCATATATCTTGTTCTTCTTTCTACCATCCGAGAAATAATCGACCAATCTCTTGCGGGTTTTATGCAAAAAATTCTAGCCACTACATCACTATAGCGGTCTTCCCATACACACTTAATCTGAGTATCAAAAGTTAAATATCAGATGGAAACATGATAAATATAAATTCTTAAACTTCTTAGAAGAATATTTATACCTTAAAATGATTGAAAATTTGCTCCTTCATCGAGTATGGAAAATCACTCCAAATTGCATAGGGGCTACCATCAGGTTTGAAAATGGCATTGGTGATTATCTTTGTAGTCTGTTTGCTTGGTTTGAACCTTAAATTTAACAATAAAAATACTAGTTAGAACATTATAAAATAATAAACGAAAAAATAACAAATAACTCTTACTCATTCCCCTCAAGGACTATGATGATCCTGCCATAATGATCATAATGCACTACCACTAGATCATCATCCTCAGCATATGTATCAGAGGCATGTGTAGACGATATAGAGGGGGGGATCAGAGTTATGGTCTGAAATTGAAGGAGTAGATGATAAAAATGGCTGCGATCCCTATGACTGCGATATAGATGGTTGCGATCTATATGGCTGCGATACAGATGGCTGTGACCCATGTGGCTATGATATAGATGGCTTTGATCCACAGGGCTACAATACAGATGGTTGTGATCCATGGGGATGCGATGCAGATGGTTGCGATCCAAGTGTATGTGAGGCAACTGGATTATATGACAGACGTATAGTCCTATGGCCCTGTGATAGAAGACCCAGTGTCTGGATGAAAGTATAAGCCCGCTTCTGCTATGGTAGCTTAGTAAGCCATGTGGTGGAGGAAAAGACATATGCATCGAATGCTTCATCTAGGAAACGACTGAAAATGAGGGAGTAGTATTATCTACAGAATCTATCCTCCTCCTTCCAAGCCTTTTCTCGACCCCGAGAAATATCTGGATCATTGTTATCTTGACCCTTGACTGTCATCTGCATAATATAATATATATTTAGAATGACAAAATAAGAAACTAGCTATAACACAAAAGTGCTTTAAAATCTAACTTGTTAATCCTCGTCGACGTATTGTTCCTTATCCGAGAATTCTTCATCCTCACTTATTTCAATTTCCTCAACTGATTCTTCATCCTCATTTTTATAGTTGTTACTTCATTTATATCAAATTCTTCTAATATGCATCCAAGATGCTCTAAATCATTTTTTAACTGATCATCCACTATTTGGTGAACACTTTAGATATTATTTTGATATGAAACATCTAACACATTCTCGATTTCAACCCTACTCACAGGCTTAGTTTTGATTTCCACCCACCAATCAGACTTACTCCTCCGTATTGGATAAGGGGAATAATATAATACACTTGCCTAATGTTATGTGAAATTATGAAAGGATCATAGCGATCATACTCCCTTGTATGATTAACCTCGATTATGTTTTATTGCTGGTGTACTTTTGTACCTCTTATTGGATTTGGGTCAAACCACTTATATCTACCCTAAAAGTTTAATTTATACCCTAAATATTCAATGAATAACCTAAAAAATTCAATTCATACCCTAAACAATCCAGTTAACCTCACAAAACATAAACCGTTAACACTTCAATTCATACCCTAAAGTTTCAATTCACTAGAACTAAATCCTAAAAACTCAATTCAATTCAAAGTAAAACATTCTAAGTTACACTCTAACTAAAGTATTCAATTCAATACAAACTTAAACATTCAATTTT